AGTGCGACGTAAATGAACTACTACTACTGCTCAAATTTCTGGCATGTATTGCGAACGTTCCGTAGTTGTTACACTTGCACTGTGATGGGCCATTTTTATTGACTCTGATTTCTTTTTTTGCATACGAAAAAAACCACGTACTAAGGGGAACCAGATTGGTGGAAAATATTCACCTGCAAAAAATTCACCAATCCAGTTCTCGTTCACAAGCGGAAAAAACCCGCATCCAATGAGAATTGACTTTGGAACCAACTTTAAGCCTATGCTGCAACCAACAAGCCGTGTGATGAAATTCAGTCTGAATAAGTCAAGTATGAGACTTAAATTAAAGAAATGATAAGCAAAGAACTTTAAATGTACAAAAGTAAGCAGTCGAGAGTGTTACTACTGTAAACAAACAAAATAACATGGCTGCTTCCAGGAGATTCACGAACTTTACCAAACAGAGACATTTCACCTTTTTAAAGTATGTTAGAACAAATTTTTATGTATTAAATTAACATTTAGTTATATATAAACATTTTAAAATTCAAATTTTGTAGTTTAATTTAGTACAATCGTATAATTTTTTATTAAAATTGATTTCTGCGGTCAGGTAATTTTTATGTATAATTGCAGGTCTTCAGTTTTTTATTCTACAAATGTAACCACTCGACCTAGTGAAAAAACCAGTAAGTACAATATCGCTTGCATTATAATTTTAAGAATTATTCCTAAACGTGACGAAATAAAGTTATGTGCGCCTATATAAATTTTGTTTCGTTTAAGTATGATTCTCTATTTGTAGTTTTTTTTAATAGTTTACTTATACTTAACCATATTTAGGTTTAAGAAATTAAATCCTTTTTTTACGAAAATTTTCTTATTCTATGAAGCTCAACATTAAAAAACTATGGTTCAGTTAAATTTGTTGCTAAACTTTATATTTTCTTCTAAAAAGAAAAATAATAAAGTATAAAACTGTTTTATTAAATTTTTTTCTGCCATTTATGTAAAATTTAAAGTAGAATAAAATAATGGCATTTCTCAAAATAATTATAGGTATGTTAATAAGCTTCATTTTTGAGTATATCAAGGCAAACAGCTTTAGACTGGCTCAGTTGCCAACTTGTCAGATGGCAAAGTGGCTCTTTCAAAATGTGAATTTGCTGAAAAGATAAACTATATGTATCTAGAATAAGTTTTAAATCAGCCTTTTTATAGTTTTCTGTCTCTATATTTCTTTCTTTTCAAATAATAAGCTTTTCACAGCAGTCTGTTAGCTTTTGACAAAAAATATCTATCTCTATTTTCCATTGAAGATAATGATGTAACTATTTATGGTTTATTAAACCAACATGACCGTATGCTTTCTATGATTTTGATGCCTCTCTATATTTTCCCAACTATATTTGTTCATATTTATTTTACACCTTTTTGTTTTATATAATTTCTAGTTCCCAAAACCAGGGGTTAAAATTCTATTTGCCTAAAAGTTATTAATTATAGATAATGAAAATATCTATGTCGACATTTCAACATTTAAATTTTACATAAATGTTGATTTGTCAATTCTATGTTGACATTTATTTACGAAAACTATAAGGTGTGTTTGGATATTAATGCAAGCATAAGAACATGTGATTTTTACTTGTATAATTATCTATGGATTAAGTAAAATTATATATATATATTTGGTCCTTTTATTTTTTAGATAGTTTTTAATAATTTCCTTGATATTTCATTAAAGTAGGTAGAAAATGTTTACCTTATTTTAAATTCAATTAAATCTCTGACTCATAGAGAAGTTAAAAGCAAAGATCTACTTTTTTTAAAGTAAAAATCAGATTTTTGACCAAAATATTTTTATTCTGTTTTAAATTATAAATGTTCTCAAAGTTGAGTTTTTTAAGCCTGATTTTGTTGATAATGAATGTTTCTTCAACAAAATAAAGAGAGGGGGATGCATGTAACTTATTAATCAATGTTCAAAATTAAGAAGAAAAAAAAAAGAAATCTTTCTGAGAATGGCATGAATGTTTTAAAGGTAGTTGTGTATATATCAATTAGTCTTTTTAATAAACATATATTAATTGTATCCGTTGAAATTTATGCTTATTTATAAATTAGTGCTTTGAAAATCTAGATAAATAAAAGCAGAGGTTTAGCTGAGAGTTTTTTTTCATATAGTAAAAATGCTTTTTGGTTTTCTTTAAGGATGAAATTTCCTTCAGAAGAGTAAAAAACAATTACATTTTAAATACAGAATAATATAAAATATTTGCATTTCATTAAAATTTTATTATTTATTTTTTCACTTCTAATAATCTTACAGCATTATCAAATTTGAAATCACTGACATTTCGATTTTGTTATTTCTGTTTGAAATTTAATTTCCTTTAGATTAGATTTATCCTGTTTAGGATTAAAAAAACTCTTTCACATTCAGTTGTTTGGATCGATATTGCTATATCAGAGTTTGGATGTGGTGGGTGGTAGAGGGGGAAAAAAAGAAAGAAAGTTTCAAGAAATGAATTTTTTTTTTTTTTTTTTTTTT